CAATTCTTGAATTTACACATTCATATTCTCTTTTCTCCTTCCATAACTGATCCTTCAACATTACTGCTACCCCTTCCTTTGCTCTAACTCTCTTAGATACTCCAGATTTAATCCCATTTATTTCCCCCCACCGAAACTCCCCTACCCCCTTCAGCTTTGTTTCGCTTAGGGCCAGGACATCCAACTTCTTTTCATTCATAACATCACCAATCATCTGTTTCTTGTCATCCGCACTACATCCACGCACATTCAAGCATCCCAGTTTTATAAAGTTTTTCTTCTTCTCTTTTTTAGTAAATGTCTACAGGAGAAGGGGTTACTAGCATTTACGGCATTTTAGTCGCCTCATACGACACGCATGGCTTACGGAGGAAAGATTCTTTTCCACTTCCCCATGGACAATAGAAGAAATAAAGAAGAACAAGAGCTATTTAGAAAAAGGAGAAAAGCCTAGATGTATGTATATATGTATGCATGTGCATGTCTGTGAAGTGTGACCAAAGTGTAAGTAGGAGTATCAAGATATCCCTGTTATCTAGCGTGTTTATGAGACAGAAAAAGAAACCAGCAATCCTGCCATCATGCAAAACAGTTACAGGTTTCTGTTTCACAGTCATCTGGCAGGACGGTAGTACTTCCCTGGGTGGTTGCTGTCTACCAACCTACCAACCTACTATAATAATAATAATAATTATTATTATTATTATTATTATTATTATTAATAATAATATTATTATTAATAATAATATTATTATTATTATTAATATTATTATCTTCATTCACTCAAAAAAATGGTGTGTTGCTGTTTGTTTATTCTGAACTAACTTCTACAACTTGTACAGAATGTAGAGTATTTGTATTGTAAGGTAAGTATTATTAAAATAAAAAAATATTGAGGTAAATGTTTTACAAACTCTTACAAATGGACGTGAATGAACTAAAAGTAGACACACATTAATACACATTTCGCCTGACCAAGTGATCGTCCACTACCTGTTCAGTTTGTGTTCTTACATTGTCTCAACTCTGTATCTTGTTCTCTCTCTCGTTTACTCTTTCATTAACTAGTTGGCTCTCATTGACGATGGCGTCTAAGGTTAGCTGTAATAAAAAGAGAAGTCGTAAGCCTCTTGCTTTAAGTGCCAAGTTAGAAAATGATGGTGTGCCATTCTGATTTTATTCAATAAACACCGTGCCACTCACCTCTCACATTAATATTAATATTTTAAGGTAAGTAATAAGTGTACTTTGTGTGCATCTTACCTTTTATTGTGTTTTTAATGCCTATTTCTATTGCTAACTTAATATAAGTTTGTGTAAACTTGTTGTCTGGCATTTATTGCATATTTTATATGCTCTGATAATAATACTTGTGGAGCCGGGTGGAGGGACAACATTACGTTTTCTTTGTTCAGCCATCAGAGAAAACGTGTATGAATCTGCGTTTGGCCCAGCCACTCCCCCACTCCGCTTTTGTTTACAATTTTCAGCATGAATTATTCATTACTTCTACCTTCGTTTATGATGGCATCTAAAGGTAGTTGTTAGAAATGATTAAATTCAGTGAACAAGGCATGTTGATGTTAATAATATGGCTCTGGGCCACAGTGTAAGTAGCCAGTAGGTGTAGCCCAGGCTACACCTACCGGCTACCTACACTGACTTTATACAAATAAATACTACTCACCTCTCTTCCTATATTAAGATTACACATATTTTAAGGTAAATAATGAGTGTATTGTATGTGCATTTTACCTCTCTGGGATGTTTTAAATATCGTATATTAAGTATGAGACGGGGAGCCAGTGCTACCTACACCTGGGCTACCTGCACCTGACTTCCTACAAATAAGTACTACTCACCTCTCTCCCTACATTAAGATTACAAATACTTTAAGTAATGAATTTACTGTGACTGTATCTTACTTTGTGTGTTTTTAATGCCTAGTTCTATTACTAACTTAATATAATTTAGTGTAAACTTGTTGTCTGGCATTTATATGCATTTATAAATGGAAAAAAATGGAGTTCTGCCTTCCGGCGATGTCTGCTTTCCGGCAACAGCCCGGAACCTAACCCTCCGTATAAGTGGGGCCCTACTGTATTAGCTATTTTTATAGTTGCTCTACCTCCTCACTGAAAGTCCCACCTTTGACACAAACACTGTCTTTGATTTTTTAACAAACTAATCCATTGTAACAAGTTAACTTTTACTCTTAGACCTCCAGTGACCCCTACCTCGGCTCTCTCCAACCCCTCACTCATTCCTAACCTCTGCACATGCCTGCTTTCACACATACCTCTGCAGCATTGTATAAACAATTTAAGTGCTAAACCTCTAGGGTTTAGCTTTTGAATCGTTTAAATTATTTATAGTTGCAATAAGTAGACTGAATATAATCTATAGATGTCTCAATGGGATACTGACAGTATCATAAGAACTATGATGGAAAAAAAAAATCCTTTATCACTTAATGTACTGTATACTCATATTGACTATGCAATATATATGATACAAATATGAATATAAGTTACTTATGTAATGTATGATGTCAAGAATGATATTCTGTACATAGTATGTCTATATATAGTGCACAATATAAGTAAGGATCCCAATGAAAATAAATCCCTTTAAGGAATTGAAGAGGTATTTTATGTTTTGCCATTGGTATGTGTCACTTTTGTATACAGTATCTACTGAAATAATGAATAGCTATATGCAGTCTGAAATATAATACACCTGGGAATATTGAAATTACTTTTATTTTCTGTGATACCATTGTATGATGCTATCCTAGAAATAAATTAATAAATGAGCACTCACAATTTAGGTACAGATTCAGATTGTCAAAGAATTTTGCACATTTTTATTTTATAGACAACATTTGATTTATTAATGTTTGTAATATCTGCATAAGAGACAGGCAAAATTCTGTGTTTCAATCATGCGTAATCCTCCCGTTACACCCTAGCCATACCCAGGATATACAGTATTTACAAAATATCCTTTATATTAAATGCTTGCAAGTGTATTTGTATTGTTCATAATGGGTGTATAAGTAAGTTATTAGGTTATGTTGCTTAGCAGTATTGCTTAAACACTAGTTATTGTTTTAGTATGCTACTTATGGAAAGCATATGCTGTATTTTACGTGTCTGCAATATTTGAGTTTGATCCTGTAAGCTTAAATGTACCTCCACTCTCTCCAGCCTTCTTAAAACATCAAACAATACAGTGGACCCCCGGTTAACGATATTTTTTCATTCCAGAAGTATGTTCAGGTGCCAGTACTGACCGAATTTGTTCCCATAAGGAATATTGTGAAGTAGATTAGTCCATTTCAGACCCCCAAACATACACGTACAAACGCACTTACATAAATAAACTTACATAATCGGTCGCATTGGGAGGTGATCGTTATGCGGGGGTCCACTGTACTTCCATTTCTTGAAAATGGAAAGACGCTTTTATTACTTGCATTTTTACAAAGTTCATTCTTAATATTATTTTTATCATTTATTTTTAATTCCAATAGAGCATATCTAATAAGTAATTCCTAATAAATTTCCTAAAATTGATATGTAGTTATGTTATTTATCTATATCTAACATTTATATTTAAATTTAGACTATGTCCAGTCACTACACTTATGTACAATAATTAGAGAGCCCAGTGATGCATAATGTTTTTGTTTATCTATGTTTCATAGACCATCTACTCTATAGTGCAGTTCATCCTTTGTGTATTTTTTACAAATTCTAATTATTTGTGTTAAATCAATTTACTTTTTTCTCAGGTTTGAATGTGTAAATAAAAATTTAATAGGAGTATTTATTAATGTGATTTATCCTATTATACAGTATATATACAGTATTGATTTTACAGCAAATTTATATTATATATATATATATATATATATATATATATATATATATATATATATTATATATATATATATATATATATATATTATATATATATATATTATATATATGAGTACTACACACTCAGTGGCCATTATATTAGGTACACTCTTCTAGTACTGGGTAGGGCCTGAATTCTTTGTGGCATGGATTCAACAAGGGCTGGAAACATTCCCTCAAGATCCTGGTCTATGCTTACATGATAGCATAATGCAGTTGCTGCAGATTTGTCAGCTTCATGTTCATGCTGCAATTCTCCCATTCAGCCACATCCCAGACATTTATCCCAAATTCTGACACTACCATCTGCATGTTGCAGAAGAAATCATGATTCGTCAGAGCAGCAGCAACATTTTTTTCCAGTCTTCAGTATTGGCAAGCCTGTGCCCATTGTAGCCTCAGTTTCCTGTTTTTAGCTGAAAAGAGTGGAACATGGTGGGGTTTTCTACTGCTGTATCCCATCTACTTCAAGGTTCAGTGTATTGTGCATTCAGAGATGCTCTTCTGCAAAATATTGTCTTATGTTCTTATGTTCTTATTTGAGTTACTGTCACCTTCTGTCAGCTTGAACTAGTCTGGTCATTCTCCTCTGGCTCTTCTCATTAACAAAGTTTTTTTGCCCACAAAACTGCTCCTCACTAGATGTGTTGTGTTTTTCACACTATTCTCTGCAAACTAGAGAGACTTGTAGAAGAAAATCCCAGATCAGCAGTTTCTGAGGCCTTCAAACCATCCCGTCTGACACCAATAATCATTCCACGGTAGAAGTCACTTAGATCACAATTCTTCCCCATGCTGATGTTTGGTCTCTGAACAAGAACTGAACCTTTTGGCTATGTCTGCATGCTTTTAAGCATTGAGGTGTTACCACATGATTGGCTGAATAGACATTTGCATTAATGAGCAGATATACTTAATAAAGTGGGCACTGAGTGTATATAAAAGTAACATTTACACACACAGTAATTAAGGTTTTGGCCTTCATATTAATGTATTATTATTATTATTATACACTATTTTAGGCTGTCTCATAGTTCCATTTTTACTGAAAATTTAAAATTTTGTGGTTTCTTACAGTCCTCCACACTTCAGCCAGTTTAGCGCTGAATGAAAACTGGGATCCATACGTCCGAGATGATATGGAGATGATGCTCAACAAAATAGTGCCTGAGGTATGCTGCATCATCCTGCCTACCATTTGTGGAGCAACTTGTAGTAAAGCCTTGTCAATCTCACCTTGAAATTTAGTGCATTACAAAAAATATATAGTATAACTCAATAACCAGTGTTGCTGAGATAAGAGTTCCTTCACTGATTTTTAGACAGAGATGGGGTTGATTGACAAGGTGTGAATGCACTTGAGATAATGTATATTGAAGCTGCATTCTCCTAGGGTAGCCGTTGTTAGACATAGACTGGACAATTACTAAAGATTATACAAATTTTATTTCCCCATAGACTGGAGCTCTCCTTGATTAGAGTTTCTAGCTGAGCAGAAGCCGCATAGCAAGTGTACTATTCTCTTACTTTTAGAATCTCCGCTGGACTAATATGTCCCGAAGAACTCATGTTGATGGTAAATCTTCATCGCCAAAAGCAAATTACAACCTAGTATTATTTGTTTGTATTTATGAATGGTAATGCTACTTGTTTAGATTAGATTTGCATGAAATAGATTTTTTTTTTTTTTGCAGGGGTGCAAAATTTACCCTTTTCCTTTGGTTTATGTTGAAACTTTTTGTATAGAGCAGTTTCCCCTCCCTCCACCACCACAACCACCTGTCATAGAGTTTTGGTTTGGTTTATTTTTTTAACATAGATTTCCATTTTTTTCCAGGGGATGCCTTACCGACATTCCTGTGAAGGCCCCGATGATATGGTAAATTGTTTTTCAAATTTTGCACATCATCACATTAGCCATCCACTAAATTTTTTTCCTGTTTAACATTTATGGAATAAACAAGGGGGCTACATTTTACCCAGCTATATATAATATATATATATTATATGTATATGTATATAGTAATATATACATTGTATATTTTTCTTCTAGATTTGTCTTATCCCAGATTGTTAATTCCATACAGGCTAACTAAAATTCCTCTATTCAGTCATGCAAATTATATGTTTCAAGGAACGTTTGTAGAATTTTGCCAGAGTATAAAGTGGGACACCACATTTCTCGTGTAATTATGCATTCAAGTTGTTATTGGTGTGTCTGTGAATAAGTCTTTGGTAAAAGCATTATGTATTACCTGATCAGTGTCTTTACTCACACCTGGTTCATTAGACTCCCTTATTGAAATGTGTCTTTGTTTTAGATTACAGTAGATCCCCTGGCTTATGATCTTCTGATGTATGATGTTCTACACTTAAAATATTGGCAATTTTGGACCAATGAACAACTTAGGAAGCGCAAACATTCAAATTAAAATTTTTTCAATAAATGATTTTTATTTGGCTCTTTTTAATCAAATACAGTACATTTATATTTGGCATATGTTTATTTTATAAATGTGTGGAGAGTTTTTGTTTGTTTGGTAGAGAATGGTGTTTGTGTGTAGTACATGGTCAGTGGGGTGAGGCTGGCCTCCATCCTCCTCAACCTGGTCAGAGAGTAAACTTCACTACATGCCCAGGTACCTTATATCCTGACCATAACAGTGAGTAGTGTGGAAAGCAGGAATGAAGAGTGTAGATTGGGTATGTGGTGTGGGGGCATAGTACAGTGTGAAGGTGGAATAGTGTGTGAGTGTATAGTACATTGTGAGGGTGGCATACAGTGTTGGGGTGGATTATGATGTTTTAGTGGAAGAGAGTAAGGGGTGGAATATGATACAGGACTAGAATCAGTAAAAGAGAGGGAGGGAGGATGTGAAAAGCAAACATAAAGTGTTGTGTCAAGTATGGGTTCGGGACTGCATCTCTGATTATGATTTGGGTGTGTACAGGAAAATAGGTTGTGAGTAATTTTTAGGCATGCATTAACATGTAAGTGGGGGACCTACTGTAGTTAAAGCTTTAATATCTTTAAATATTTTTGTCATTCAAGTGCACTGAAATGTATACTGTTTGACAGCAAGATTATGTTTCTGTTGTGGTCCTAGTTAAAAAAAAATGTCAGTATTAAACATTTGGCACATTTTCTTAGAAGTAATGTGAACTTTGACACAGTATTTGCCCGATTGAAAGCAGTGAATAACAGCTTTTGTTAGGAGAAATTATCATTGCGGTAATACTATGTGGCACAACATTAATAGAAGGTCACTTTTTTCCTCTAACCTTTCATGGCTCAGCACATTTTCATTTCAAATTTCCAAATGAACAACTATTGATATGAGTATATTCCTTCTGCATTTTTGCTTTGTATGTACATGAGGATGAACAAAAGGTTTACAAAAACTGGCCAGAATATTAAATTGTAAGATTCTTGATGGTGCTAGAAATTTTTCTTAATTATCAAATGTTTCTTTTAAGTTTTTTTTTTTTTTTTTTTTTTTTTTTTTTTTTTTTTTTAATATCAGATTTATTGATACAGTATCCCTGATGATGTTTTTCTCATCTGAACATCGATCATTCATATGGGTACTGCCAGAAAAACCAGTGGATAATCAAATCTATTCATAGGCTGTTCAGCAGTAAATAGTTGGATAATTGACTTTTACAGATAATATACCACACAAATTTCTAAAGTCAATTGTTTGGTGCTGTACTATATATGTAGTGCTTTAGCACCTAGCAGTGTTGAATTACTCTGTTGCTCTGTACAGTATAGTGCTAAAATATATGTTAAATCACCCTCATCTAGGGTGGAAGAAGTAAAATGAACTAAGTGAATATTGAGTTTTCACTGACTAGAGTACATACACCTTGAAGATCCTCTAAGTTCTTGTATTTGTAGATGAATGGTTTAGAGAACCGACATGTTGATAAATTAGACACATGTGCAACTCTTGGGTATCTTTATTGAGGAAACGTTTCGCCACACAGTGGCTTCATCAGTCCATACAAAGGAGAATCTTGAAGAGCAGGAGGAGAATGAGGTAATCAGTCCCTCAACCTTGAGTCGATGTGGTCAGTCCATCAATCTTGAATAGAATACGGCATACGTGCTGAGAAGGAGCTTATAAACCGTTGGCAGGAGAGGTGCAGCAGTCATAGGTTGAGGGACTGATTACCTCATTCTCCTCCTGCTCTTCAAGATTCTCCTTTGTATGGACTGATGAAGCCACTGTGTGGCGAAACGTTTCCTCAATAAAGATACCCAAGAGTTGCACATGTGTCTAATTTATCAAGTTCTTGTATAATAAGGAAGCTGCTTTGTGTGATAAGGGCTTTCTTTACTGCACATTTCTTTCAACATATATACATGGATTTACTGTTAATTAACCTGTAAATGGTCCAAACATACGTTCACTACCCCAGTGTCCCAAATATTTTAAAAAATAAAAAAATAATTTTATTTTTATGGAAATAAAGAACACATTTTTCTAAGTGTTATAGGATAAAAAAAATTAGAGTCAGTAATTGTAGAGATATGAGGCCGAGAAGTTGGCACTGGATGCTCACGTGATGGCAACATCGAGTCCTGCCACTTGCAGAAGTGTTGCCGATATACCTTTTTTTCTATTCTTCATGTTATTTTATATAATTTTTTTTTTTTAGCAAGTCGGCCATCTCCCACTGAGGCAGGGTGACCCAAAAAGAAAGAAAATCCCCAAAAAGAAAATACTTTCATCATTTAACACTTTCACCTCACTCTTACATAATCACTGTTTTTGCAGAGGTGCTCAGAATGCAACAGTTTAGAAGCATATACATATAAAGATACACAGCATATCCCTCCAAACTGCCAATATCCCAAATCCCCTCCTTTAACCCTTTCAGGGTTGGTGCCGTACTAGTATGGCTTGCACGCCAGGGTTGGTGCCGTACTAGTATGCATAAATTCTAGCACCTTCAAATCTAGCAAGAGAAAGCTGGAAGGCCTACATATGAAAGAATGGGTGTATATGGCCAGTGTGCACAGTATAAAAAAAATCCTGCAGCACACAGTGCATGAGGAAAAAAAAAACTCCAACCGTATTTTTTCTTTAAAACGGCGACTTTGCAGTGTATTTTGTATGCTATTTATGGTTGTATTCTAGTTTTTCTGGTCTCATTTTATAGAATGGAAGACATTACAGAAATTGAGATGATGTTGATTGGTTTCACAATGAAAAGTACCTTGAAATTGAGCTCAAAGTAGCAGAAATGTTTGATTTTTGCCAAAGTTCAAAAGTAAACAAATCATGACGATGCGTCCAATACACATCAACTGGTGAGTCTAATAATCTTTTACAAGTGTGCTTATATTATTTATACCATTTCTACACTAATGCAATAGTCTGCATAACAGTAAATCTTCTATTTTTTTTGTGAGAATAAAAATTCAAAGCGGAAAGCAAAAGAAATGTAAGAGAGGCCTGGAGATGTGACTAATGAACAGAAAAAATGTTATTTTAGTGCCAGGAATATCTGTCTTGTTTATTCTGGACCCTATTTGGAAATTGGCATCTTTTGATGCCAATTCAACTATCCAGTAAAATTCTGACCACTTTATTGGATAGTTGAAATCGGTAAATGGGTGGTTTCTTGTACTCATTCGATAGAAAAAAATGGTACATTGGAATTGGCCAGAAATAGGGCTCAAAGTGGGCGAAATCGCCGGTGCGTAAACATCGTCGAGAAAGCTAATTTCGCGAGAGCATAATTCCGTAAGTTTTCCATCAAATTTCATCCTTTTGGTGTCATTATGATCGGGAAAAGATTCTCTATCATTTCATAAGATTTTTTTTTTTTTTCCGAAAAATTTCCGACCCTAAGAACAAGTTTAGGAGAGGGCCTACCGACCCTGAAAGAGTTAAATTGCAGGCATTATACTTCCCATTTCCAGGACTCAAGTCCGGCTATATAAAAATAAATAATTTTTATTTTCTGATAATTACAATTTATAGTAGTTCTTGTCATTTCATAACCAATCTTTGTTCTGACACTAGTATTGGGTACTGAAATTGTACTCAAATTGTCACAAACACACACTGACAGGTGGACATTTACACTTGCCTTAACCATTTACTATTGTTTTGGAATGTGGAACATATACAAAGTATTTATAGGTCCCAGCAATGTTGTGGATATGTGAAGTATATAATAAGAATAAGAAGTAAGAAGATGGAATAAAAGGAAAATGGCAACAACAAGTAAGAGAAGTGAAAGTGTGTAAACTAAGGGAGGAAGAGGTTCAGGTGAGATATGAGCAACTATTGGAAGAAAGGTGGGCTAGTGCAAGTATGAGTAGGGAGGGAGGCCTTGAAAGGGTTGGATAGTTTTAAGCAAAGCACATCATTAGAATGGGGGCCATTAATTTGGGGGGGGCTTTTAGAGAGGGGGAGGTGCAGGAGTAAAAGAGGAGTGGAATTGTGTGGTATGGGGGTTGAAGAAAAAGGATGTGAATGATGAATAAAGAGAAAAAAAGTAGCTTATGAGAGATTTTTACAAAGCAGACATGTTATAAGAAGAGCAGAGTATATGGAGAGTAAAAGAAAGGTGAAGAGAGTGGTGAGAGAGTGTAAAAGGAGAGCAGATGATTGAGTGGGAGAGGCACTGTCAAGAAATTTTAATGAAAATTTTTAGTGAGATAAAGTTAAAGCCTAGGGAATGAATGGATTTGTCAGTTAAAAACAGAGTAGGGGGGTTAGTAGATGGGGAGATGGAGGTATTGGGTAGATGGTGGGAATATTTTGAGGAACTTTTAAATGTTGACGAAGAAAGGGATGTAGTTATTTTATGCACTGGCCAGGGAGGTATACCGTCTTTTAGGAGTGAAGAAGAGCAGGGTGTGAGTGTGGGGGAGGTACGTGAGGCATTACATAGAATGAAAGGGGGTCAAGCAGCTGGAACTGATGGGATCATGACAGAAATGTTAAAAGCAGGGGGGGGGGGGATATAGTGTTGGAGTGGTTGGTATTTTTGTTTAATAAATGTATGAAAGAGGGGAAGGTACCTAGGGATTGGCAGAGAGCATGTATAATTCCTTTATATAAAGGGAATGAGGACAAAAGAGATTGTAAAAATTATAGAGGAATAAGTTTACTGAGTATACCAGGAAAAGTGTATGGTTGGGTTATTATTGAAAGAATTAGAGGCAAGACAGAATGTAGGATTGCTCATGAGCAAGGAAGTTTTAGAGTGGGTAGGGGATGTGTAGATCAAGTGTTTACATTGAAGCATATATGTGAAAAGTATTTAGATAAAGGTAGGGAAGTTTTCATTGCATATATGGATTTAGAAAAGGCATATGATAAGAATCTTTCCTCCGTAAGCCATGTGTGTTGTGAAAGTCAACTAAAATACCGGGAACAATGGGCTAGTAACCCCTTTTCCTGTAAAGATTACTAAAAAGAATAAGAAGAAAATTGTCAAAGTGGGAAGTCTGAATGTGCGTGGATGTTGTGCAAATGATAAGAAAGAGATGATTGTGGATGTTATGAAGGAGAAGAAGCTGGATGGCCTGGCTTTAAGTGAAACAAAGCTGAAGGGGGTGGGAGAGTTTCAATGGAGAGGAATAAATGGGATTAGGTCAGGGGTTTCAAATAGAGTTAGAGCTAAAGAAGGAGTAGCAATAATGTTGAAGGATAAGCTATGGCAGGAAAAGAGGGACTATAAATGTATTAAGTCGAGGATTATGTGGAGTAAAATAAAGATTGGATGTGAAAAGTGGGTTATAGTAAGCGTGTATGCACCTGGAGAAGAGAGAGTGTAGAGGAGAGAGAGAGATTTTGGGAAATGTTGAGTGAATGCGTGGGGAGTTTTGAATCAAGTGTGAGAGTAATGGTGGTTGGGGACTTCAATGCTAAAGTGGGCAAAAATGTTATGGAGGGAGTAGTAGGTAAACTTGGGGTGCCAGGGGTAAATGTAAATGGGGAGCCTTTAATTGAGCTGTGTAGAAAGAGATTTGGTAATAAGTAATACATATTTTATGAAAAAGAGGATAAATAAATATACAAGGTATGATGTAGCACGTAATGAAAGTAGTTTGTTAGATTATGTATTGGTGGATAAAAGGTTGATGGGTAGGCTCCAGGATGTACATGTTTATAGAGGGGCAACTGATATATCGGATCATTATTTAGTTGTAGCTACAGTTAGAGTAAGAGGTAGATGGGAAAAGAGGAAGGTGGCAACAACAAGTAAGAGGGAGGTGAAAGTGTATAAACTATGGGAGGAGGAAGTTCGGGTGAGATATAAGCGACTATTGGCAGAAAGGTGGGCTAGTGCAAAGATGAGTAGTGGGGAGGGGGGGGTTGAAGAGGATTAGAATAGTTTTAAAAATGCAGGATTAGAATGTGGGGCAGAAGTTTGTGGTTATAGGAGGGTGGGGGCAGGAGGAGAAGAGGAATGATTGGTGGAATG